GACACCCCCTCCACTCCCACCCCTCCAACGAGTTATGTCCCATGACCACCTCCCACGCAAAGTGACTGAAGAATGCACATGGGTCTCCTTAAACAATTTATTGATTTTTTTCAGTGCCGTGTCCCAAGTCACAAGACACGTCCAGGCTGCCCGGGCTTTGAGCAGGCCTGGGGACCCAGGTGGGTCATGTTGGGAAGTTACTCCTGGTGCGTGGCCACCTGGGAGCTGGTCGTGTTCCCGAAGAAGGCACGAAATCGCGAATTACTCTCGATGGCCATGTCCAATAACTCCGGAGTAATTTGGCTCTGGCCGCGGTTCCTGGCCTCCCTGCCTGCCAGCTCCAGGACCTTGGCGGTGATATATTCGGTGATAGCCGCGACTAAGGTCGGAGTGGAGGAGCTGAGGTACCGGGCATAATGGCTGTCCCTCAGGAGGGACTCCATTTTGCTCACAGAAAAGGACATGCCATAGATGCTGGTGCGGGAGCGGCTCCGACTCTGGCGATGACCCGATGACCCAACCCGGTGTCTTTGCCCCCGCATGCTGGGCGTTGGGTGCGCTTTCTCCGACCGGCCTAGCTCTGCAGTGCTGCGCGGTGCGGTTCGGTGCGATTTAGTGGGTGAGGGAAGGTGGGAAGCAGTAGGGTGAAGCGAGATGAAGGAAGGTACAATGTGCCAGCTGGTCCCAACTTGTGCAGATAGAGGTTCTGCAGGTCCCTACTCCGTAGCTTAGCAACCGCGGACCGGCCGCTCATTGGCTGGACGCCCTCTGTCTCGAGTGTTCATTGTGTGAGGTCCCTGCTTTCCCATTGGCCCCCAGCGGGCCTGGGACTACAAAAACAATGGCGCATGCAGCAGCCTGCTCACACTGCTTACTGGAACCTCTCTTTGAAGGCACTCACTTTCCACTGGACCTGAACGTTGTAGGGAAAAACAAATGTGTCCGATCCAGTGGCACTGAGTATATATACACTCGTGGTGTTGGACGGCCATCACAACTCTCTTGTTCCAAACCCTTGGCACCACTGCAAAAAGAAACCCCTGTACCCATTGGGCAGTCACTGATTCCTTCTGTAACCCCCACATCCCCTCCCCTGCCCCACCCCTCGGCCCCAGGCAACCACTAGCCTGCTTCCTGTCCATAGAGGTTTGCCTATTGGGGAGGCTTCTTAGAGATGGAATCCTACAACAAATAGGTGACCTTTTGTGCTTGGCTGCTTTCACTTAGCATAATGTTTTCGTTAGGGTTCATCCATGTGGTAGCATGAAT